CGGGCTATGGCAGGATCTGTTCGAGCCACCCCTACACCAGTGTCAGTTGGGAATTTGATGCATGAGTGTCGAACAGAAGCAATTGCCTCCAAATCTTCTAGCCCCGGACGGCCCAATATGGCATTGTGGGCACATGCAATATCCACCACCACAAACGTCATCCGGACTGCCGCTCGGTGAATTTCATCACCAATTTCCACCAGAAGCTGGATGGTGCCCTCTGCCTCTATTACATTGCCGGTGAAGCTAGCCAGCGGTGTCTTCAGCTTGGTCAGCTGGTCCTTCTTTAGCTTCATCTTCTCCAACGTGCGTAAATACAGCACGTTCACACTACTTCCCGTGTCCACCAGAACTCGGTGGATCAAGGCGTTGTCTATACACATACTCACCACTAGCTCGTCCCTGTGCGGACTTGGTGAGTTGGGTAAATCAGCCACCCCGAACGTGATTGGCTCTAGGCGGCCCTTCTTTGTGGGAGGTGCAGCTACAGTGGCGACATAGAGGCTGCGCTCAAATTTCTTGCGTTCGGCGGCCGTATCCCCGGTCTCTCCCCCGCCAAAGATGACTTTCACCTCCAATCGTGGCTTTTTCCCTGGATTCCCAGACCCCTCAGCCTCCTCTATAGGGGGAAGGTATGAATCATTACTGGGTTCTGCATCCCGCTGGGCATCCCGCTTCCAGCTATTGGATCGGGGAGGGCGCTGATTGGGGCTGTTCAGGCTGGTGCTGACATACTTCCTCAGGTAGCCCTTTTGGATCAGGTCCTCAATTGCCACATGTAGGGCGTGGCAATCCTTCGTGAGGTGCCCGTTCCGTTGGTGGTATCTGCAGTAGGAGCTTGGGGTAGGTCCCATCACGGGCCTTGTGTCAGTAGGGGGAGGAATGGCGTTATGTTCCAAATGGAAGACACCAGCTATAGACATGACCAGGGGGGTGAAGCGCGTAGTCCTTCGATGAGGTGCTGCAGCCGCTGGTGTGGGTCCCAGACGTTATGCCAGTCTTGAAGTGGGAGGTTGCGGGGCCGTTCGGTCCCTTATCCTGATCTCTTCTTCCAGGGCCGCATAGTTCCTGGCCCTTTCCAGGATGTCTGGGTAGCTGGTCCCCGGATTCCTCTTCAGCTCCCTGTATAAATCTCCCGTCTGAAGGGCATCGGTGAAAAGAAGGATGGCCGTCTCATCTGTCATGCCGGTCACCTTCAGGGTTTCGGTCCTCCACCTGGTGAGGAATCCGGAGATTGATTCTCTAGGCCCTTGCCTCACACTGGTTAGATACCCGAAATGTAATTTCGGGGTTGAGCTGGAGGCGAACTGAGCCAAGAACAAGGTGGATAGCTCCGCAAAGCTCCCGATCGACCCGGGTTGTAATGTTCCGAACCATTCCTGGGCTGGTCCCCGAAGGGTACTGAAGAACAGCCTGCATATTGCCGCGTCGGTGGCCCCCAATAGCATGAGGCCACCCTGGTAACTCCTCAGGTGTACGTGGGGATCTCCCACCCCATCGTATGCTAAGCCGGTCGAGGGACGGCAGTCCTTCAGGATTTCGGCGTTCATGATTTCCCTAGTAAAGGGAGAGGTGATCCCAACCCGTGCTGGCGGGGTTTGTTGGGGCGTCCGATTGACCTGCTCTCTGAGCTCAGTCATCTGTCTCCTCATTTCGGCCATTTCGTCGTCTTGGGCCGTTCGGGGAGTGTGTGGTATCCGAGCATCCACACATTCCCGTATTCTGTTCTGGGGAGGAGCAGCTATGTTAGCCCTCCTCCGGATGAAGCGTTCCCCATCCCTCTGGATATATTGGAAGTTTTGTCCAACGGGATCTATCATGGGGGTAGGTTCCCTGTATCCGTTTCGAGGGGCGGACGGGGTTCGGCTGGTTGGTGCTCCTCGTCTGGGGGTATGGGCCCTCCAGTGGTTCCTGCGGCGTTCCTCGGAATGAACTGAGGCCATCGTAGTCTCGATGTCCTCCTCTTCGTCAAAAGATGGTATGGGACGCAACGGGGATGGTGGCTCATGAGTTTCATCCGTGTAGCCCCGTTCCTGTTCGTCCGCCATGCGTTGCATGGCCTCCGCCATATCCCTCATCAACTGAGGGTTCATCCTTACATCCTGGGGGATGATTTGCTCGAACTCCCGGGTGGCACTGCCACTGGCGTGTCCTTGCCTGGACCACCCCTCAGAGGATCTATGGCCTCCTCGTCCTCTGGATGCAGAACTCGGTGTAGCGGTATGAAGCCTAGCCATTTCAAAAAATGGTGCTTAGATCAGCTGTTTTCCTTGAACTTTTAGTTTCGTTTCCCACAGACGGCGCCAATGTTGGGGTTTATTCCCGAAGATCCGAAAGCCCAACACAAGCCTTGGATATTGTAGGGATATTGGGTAGGGTTGAAATGTGTATAAAATATAAAACAGTGAGATATTTGCTCAACTCAAAAGCTTACCGATATTCAATAAATATGTGATTACACTGAGACTACCCGAACGGTAGATGAATATGAGATTACAAGGATAGAAGATGTAAATCTATTGCTAAGCTCTGAGTATTAAAATGCTAACCCCTTACAATGATCTAAACATGGGTATTTATACTAAAATGGGGATGGGTAAGGTGGACACGTGGTCGAATCTGGTAGGCTATCACCTCTGCCATGTAAGCACCCATGCCCCCACTTGCTGCCGCCATGATCCAGCATTAAATGCGGCCTCCACTTGCTGATTGCCCGTTCGGGCAAGGTGTTCGGTGTGTGGGACCCCGCCATAGGTGATAATTTCTACCTGAAGTATCCCGAACGCCGATCGATATTTGGGCCTTGATACCTTGGCATAATCGTTACCCAGAATGTTCCAAGTATAAGTTTTATCCCGAATGCCGTTCGGGAGTTCTTTGGGCTTGCTGCTTCTTCCCGGATTTGGGCCTAGGGATATTGGGCCTGGACCCAATATCCCAACATACAGAAATAAAGTTGTAAATTAAGATAAAACTATTTATGTTTGTATATATACCTAAATTTTATCATTATTTATATTTATACCATAATGAAGTTAAGTGATTAGTTATCATATACTGTGTATGATTAAATGTGACAATTCTATCTTTCATGTTTGTCAATGTATATGTATATAAGTATTTTATACACACAAAAATACAATATTACTTATCATAATTATGCAAAAATATAGATAAAAATGCAATTCCTATGTCTCCGACTAGTCCCCGACTAGGCGCCCGCCTAGCCGCCTAGGCGCTGGGCCGGCGTCCGACTAGCGCCTAGCGCCTTTTAGAACATTGGTTAAAACTAAGTACACAAATAAGATATTTAATAGCTAGGTTATATATAAATTAGATTGCAACATCCTACAATCTAATATTCTAAAATAATTTAGTTATTGATAAATTATGGAAACCTACTACTAACAATTTTAATAAAAAAATATTATATCTAGTATAGTAGTGATTAAGGAGTAGTAACTGGTAACTCTTATAATTGTAACTAGTCTTCCACCCGTGCGTTGCACGGGTATGAACTAATCAAAGTATATATAACTATGGATGGTAAGTTATTCGTTAGTTAAAGTTGTAACAAAACTTATTATTTTCCACATGAATAATAATATAAATTACTACCTTCATTCCACTAACATTGAAACATGAGAAGGTGACATGATTATTGAAAAAAGTGAGTTTATGTGATTGATATTGAATTGATAAAGTAAAAATAAAGTAAAAATGAATTACAGTTACACAAACTTTACTAAATTTGGCATGATATAATCTTTGTGAGATTTTCCGAAAATGAAAAATATGACTATTTTAGCGAGACAGAGGGAATTTTTTTTTAATAAAAAATATTTTTTTTCTATGGTAGGCCAAAGGTTGGCATGGATGGCAAAGGGTATAGGTTGATGTTTGGAAGTAATCATTTTTTGTCTAAAATAAAGGTGATTATGTAAATAGTTTTATATTGAATCTTTTTGAACTAAAGTATTAGAGTTTCTTAGTTCATGTGTAAGGAGTGTTTTGTTATAATGATGATCAAACATAAAAATGGTAAGCACTGAAAATAAAATCGAGGTTTTTATTTCAAACGAAGGTAGTGTCAAGTATTCTTGTGAAATAAAGTTACTATTTCACTCTATACCATTATTAAGCATCAGCCTAATTAGTTACTACTAACTATCTTGATCGTAGATAAAGTTATACTACGTATTAAAAAGGACTACAGGGTTTCAACGTATGAAAATAATAAATTTTCATTTAATACCTTTATGACATATAAAAGTAACCATGTTGAACTACTACATAATATCTCAATCGTAAGAAAAGAAGAGGTTAGATAGATTAAAGTCATAAAACTCTGTATGGCACCACTACAGTTAAACTTGACTATGAATGGAAGTATGAAACAATTGTTGGTAATAATTGTGGTGGGTCTAGATTATTATTTTTTAAAATAACCTTCTTCTATTCATAACTTAAAACATTTTAAGTGATTTGCAGAATATTCGATCAAAAAAGAAATGGAGTAAAAAGTTTAAAAACAAAACATTATTGTTCTGTCCAAAATTGCAGTCAGTGCCACAGATACTGAGGGGTGGGGAGGGGAAGCAGTGAAGCACATATCCAGCCATCCTCCCTACTGAAAGTCCAAACCATGGATAAGAATCAAATGACAAGAACCATAAACCCTTCCAGAATAAAAGCAATACATGAAGAAATACACATGGGAGTAATAAACAGTAATCATATTAAATCAACCACCATTAAAGAAACAGAAACAGGTCTGCTTAAGCCACTTCAAACTCTTCCATGAGTTTTGACAGCTTCCCAGAAGCAGAGCAGATTCTCCCGAGCCTCCAGTGCACCATATCTGAGCGTTTTGAGTAGCGATTTTGGCAAATTGTGCTTCTTGCAGACTCCTTTTTGGTGGGTCTAGACTTCTTTTCAAGTATTTGTTTCAAAATGCATATAAAAATCACTAATAATTTTTTTTAAAAAAAAAAGATCAACTGTCATTGAGCAAATCGTGATTTAAAACATTCAAGATATAATTTGGAGGAATATTTATCCAACTATAGCTATCGACAAAGAAACAGCCATTCACGCAAGCTCGTGAGTGACACGATTTGCAGATTGCTGAACAAAGTTAATCAAAACACTTCTAAAGGCTCGCATGAACACCTTAATATCGTCAACAATCAAACCCAAGGAAGACATATCTTCTCCCTTTTCAACCACATAATCCCAATCATTCTCCTTAAGCCACTTCAAACTCTCTCGAATCCTGATGGGTTCAGCCTCCTTAACCGAACAGGTACCGGACCAAGAATTTGCCCCTGCTCCTACAAATCTGCTAGCAACATCTCTCGCCACCCACCCAAACTCCCAAAGCTGCGTTGATGTTGTCTTTAAGACAGGCCACTTCAGGTTTCTTCCAGTTCTCTGCACCACCAAACCTCGACTCCCTGGAAACTTCAGCACACCGATCATTTGCAGCCCACAAGCCTTGTAGGACAGCCCTCACCAAAGTCACAATAAAGTCCTCGCCTCCTTCCTCCCTGTTCCAAACAGCCCTATTGCGGAAGTACCAAATGCTCCAGCACAACATTATCATTTCACAGCAATGATACGCGTCCTAGACATGAAGAAAAGTCCCAACCATTCCATAAATGATGTTCCTTGGCCAGCCAAACATGTCTGTCATAATAAAAAAATGATTTGTAGTTCTACAACCATATTATTAAAACCATGTCTGTAGTGCATCTTACATCATGTATATATTATAGATTTTGATTATATTTCAAGCAATTTTAGTGACAGTCTTCTAGGAACTGGTGTGAATAATGATCCTGTTTTAGAGATGTTATCAAAAGATGATCGCATCAGCTCAAGCTCATTACATTTTGTCAAAGCTTTATTTTTTCTCGAACACATTAAACTGAGCGATGATAAAAAGTCGATGCATTACTCTCTGTATTGTCAAAGAATCAGAATTGAAAATGCAAAACGAATAGAAAATAGAAAACGTCTTAATCTAAAGCAGTTTTCATTACATTGAGAATATAAAATGACTAAAACTGTCACAAAAGAAATCATAAAAACTTAGCACCATAATTTTCCCTAACTTTTACCCACACCCTAAAAAATTGCAATATAAAAGTAAGTTTATAAATTTAGCCTAAAAATTTTGCAAATAATAAAACGGCGTGTCAAAGATAAACATGAAGAAACAGAATTAGGAGATTACACTTACCAATAATGAGGGGATTGACTAAGATGGACTATCGAGTATGTTAGTAGAAGTCCAAATTGCAATCCCGGATACCTAAAAAATAAAAGAGTCTTGAATGAAAAGGCTGAAGTCAAAATACAATAGACTGGAGGCCGCTAAATACCTCATCAGATAGGAATGATAGTTGGATTAAAAAGTAAGTTTATACAAACGCTGAGGAAGATTGAAGCAGAGAGCAAAAATAGGAGATGTGTTAACAATAAGAATATCTAGTTACACACCAAATTTAGTCGGGATACTTAGTTTGCTTAATTATAGATGGATTCTAGCCTTCAAATTTCTTTTTTAATTGAAAGAGATAATTTAGAAATCATTTTAATGAATACAGCAATTATCTTCATCAAACCGTAGAAAAAGAAAACAAAAGCACCATTATAATAACAAACCTCATTTTCATCAAACTGTGAGCTGATTAAAAGGCAAAATACCTAAAATGATAATTTAGAAATCATTTTGATAAATAGAGCAATTATTTTCATCAAACCGTAGAAAAAGAAAACAAAAGCACCATTATAACAACAAACATCATCTTCATCAAACTGTGAGCTGATTAAAAGGGAAAATTACTTTTGGCTGCTAAAGTGATACCTAAAATTCAGTAGTTCATACAGAGTATAACTCAATGCTTGAATGGTTGACAAATAAAGTGTAATAATTTGTGCAGTTGAAAAATAGAAAAAAGCAGAGACCCATTGAACGTGAAATAGGCTTTTCAAAATTGTGTTGCACACATATTTGAATTGTGAACCATTAATATGAATCTGCAAAATGTGAACATCAGCACAAGAAACCCTAAAATTGGATATATTCAAACATAAATATGACTATCACCCATTATAGCACTTGCTAGCTTTAGGTTAGTACACAGAGAAATTAGAAAATAGATTTTAAAAATTAACACCAACTTGGCTATTGCATTTATATGCCTGTAATTAAATTACACTCCTAATATTCTGTCCATCTGATTGTGGGGAAAACTTAGTTCGTAAAAAAACATAATATATATGAGATTAACTGGAAGAGGAAAAGCATAACTTAGAGTTGAGGTCATGATATGGCGCAAAAGTACTCGAAGAAGCCGCAGTAATTCGAGGAGCTGAGGTGTTCTTGGAAGAAGAAGGAAGTCCAATACTTCACTGATCAGAATCTTCAGTCTCTTAGACGATCTATCTGACGGAAGAAGAACTTGACTTAGGGGGTGTATTCAATTGATACATTTGTAGACATTTTTAAACAATGGGATTTTAGGAGACATTCAAGACACTAGTATTTCACTCGTGCGTTGCACGGGATGTAATAATCACATATTGTTAATGTTATTTATAAAGCATTTACAAATTATATTATTATTTATCACACGAATAGAGAAATTGGAAATAAAAATAACAAATATTAGAAGTTTTATGAGCACACAAATTACAAATTATTGAATACGAAGTACTTTGTAGACAACGTTTATTGTAGCTTTTATCAAATATCTTTCTCCATTGTATATCATGAACTTTAAGTCAAACAGGCTTGTCACACTCAAAACCGCAACATACAATTGTGCATACGTTAAAATAGGATGTGAGAAAACCCTAACCGTTTCCCACGAATTCCCTTGACTCTTGTCTTTTCTGAAAGAACTTAACATTTTCCACCTTTTAAAACTATACTACTTTGCATATAACTTCGAACATAAAGTTTATATGCTAATAATGTACTATACAATCTTTTTAAAACTATTTAACAATAACCTTCCCATTTGGTATTGAGTCAATCAGCCGAATAAGAACTTCTAATAAGCTAATAAGCCAATGAATTGATTAAGTTGACTAAGAACATCAGAAAGACTATTTGTGGGCGAATAAGAATCCGCACATGTTATTATTTGTGATGCACATACAGAAGCTCTAGTCATCTATTATCAAAAGTAAATAAAGAATGAGTAATTAGTAACATAGGAACCTCTACTTTGTGTCACCTCCAAAAGTTTTAATCTACTTCATAACTGAACGTGTGATTATAGTGATGGACCCGGGTCCGGGTCGGATCCGGGCCGGGCCTAGGCCCGACCGGGTCTGGATGGCAATGGTTTAGGCCCGGGACCGGCCCGGTTGTCTACCAATTCTGGGTCGGGTCCGTTTTTTTTTTTGTTTTCTTGATTATTTCATCCCCTACCCCCCCCCCCCCCTCATCACCCCCCATCCCCCAAACTCATCGGAAACACCTAGGCTCAGCTCATTTAAACCCAGTCCAAACAAAAAAAATAAATTAAAAGGCCCGAACCGGGTCGGTTCACATTTAATCAATCCCGGAACCGCTCCGGTTTCATCCTTAAACTGGGCCTAGACTCGGAACCGGTACCCGGTTCCCGGGCCGGGCCTACACAGTACCGGGCCGGGTCGGGCCCACACAGTACCACGCAGATCACCTCCTCCTCAACCAAGGGCAGATGTAAATACCAAAAAAATGCTACAGACAGGTTGCTGTACTGTTAAGCCTCTAAAGTCTAAAATGTTAATGAAACCTTTCTAAAAAGTGGAAGAATTAATATTGTACGTAGTAGTATACGAAGTATATAAGGAGCAGTTTGGTGTTATTGTATATATGCAACAAGATAGACCGATAGAGGGAGATTCTGACAAATAATAGCTTATAAATCACAGCTTAGAATATTATGAACATAAGAATCAAAGGTGCACATCATATTAAACCAAAATATTATTGGTTGAATAACAGTAGTATACCCTCCAGAGTTTGGCCATATCTCCTTCCAATTTTTTATTTAATATACAAAAATTGACTTGATGTGTCACTGTTTTCGGAAAAAGCCCTTAAAAGTTGACTTTATGTCTTTATGAAGGCCGGCTTACATACTGATCTTTTTGTCTAACACCACAACAAACGTTCAGCCTGCGTGGAGAATAAAAGGTAAAGGCATTAAGGTGATCTAATAATACTACTAAGCAGAGGGTAAACTATATGTCATGTTACGCACAGGTGAAAAGCCATACGCATGGATTGGGTACCATAGTTGGTCTAAGAGAAGATAATCGCTTCAGTCAAAGACTCAAAACGAACTCCAATCAGAATTAGTTATCTCACACAGCCAAAATTCCAAATGACTTGAAGTACAATAAAAACTAAAATTCAAACTAACAATCATTCAAAGGAAATTTAGAAAGAGCATACCCACCGGGCCACCAGTAAGTGAGTTACATGATTCCCAATGATTCCCATGTAAAGAAAAATATTTTACGAATTAACACCTTTGTATCATAATCAACACAATGATAGTATAATCAGTTGCCGCTCACCTACTATAATAGCGTTTTCTCTATTGTTATGGAGCTCATGTTGAACCTAAAACATATATTAATCCTTAAGTAAAGGCACGGTTCTGCCTGAGACCATATCTCTTCTTAGTACTTACAGTGAGTTCCAAATATGGAGTGTAACCATCCTGTATAAATAAGAGACAATCCCATTAACATCTATATTTTTTCATGAGCAAGATTAACAATTGTACTTTTTTCAATCTCAATCAAGTGAACTCTTATATAGAAAAAAGGTGCAGTTTAATTTGATCTAATTGTAAGTATAACTATCAAACTTGGATGTTCTTCTTCTAAGCAGAAAAAACAAAGTAGCTTAGCCTTTAACCTTTTTTTAAATGCTTATGGGATGATTAATATAAAGCAGTTTTCTGAAATTATATGAAATGGGTCTATGATCTATCTGTTGGCCGCAATATATCCATCTTCATGATCAGAAAGATGTAGGAGAGAACATATAATCATCATACAGATATCCTAAGATCATTGCTTCATAGTTTTTGTTTAAAAATAAGAAAATAATGAAATGGAGCATGATACATAGGTAAATGTGAATGTGAAACTTAACAAATTTATCTTATTTTTTGAAGAAGAATGACTAAGATTGCATAAGATATGCTGAAAGATAACAAACTATCCCATATACCATTAGTGTGATTAGGATCCATTTCCCAAATCTTGGCTCATATCCTTTGAGGGCTGTAGCATTTGAGAAAACACAAAATTAGTAAATGTAACTTAAAAATAAATAAATGAAGGATAAACTAAAGAACTTCCTATTTATGTTGTGTATCCTAAACTTCATTTGTGAACAAAATTCCTTCCGGCCAGAATGAAATTACATTCGGAATGCCAAAAAACTGAAAAGAAGGAAGATATTTTCTTAAAATCAAACCAATAACATAAAAAAGTATCGTCAAATGGTGTGAATGTGGTATATGGTATTGAAGAACACTATTTAACTCAAATTAGGAAACTAAATTAAACTAACTCTTTCAGAAAATGCAGGGCACACAGAAGTACGCACATAGTCCATGTAATGCACTAAGACCATTGGTTCTATTGGAAGTCAAAAGTATTGCCTGGATGACATCTTTTTAGAATCTATAGGGCAAATGCTCGACAAATAACGAAGAAGAAATACAAGGAAGAGTTAACCAAAACCATACTAAAGAAGAATTAGTCTATCTAGGGATTATATGAATGAAAGGGATCTGGACGATTACCAGTAGCCTGTAACTCTGAGACGGGGGATTGGATGAGCACCGATAGCGGGGGATGATGTGAGGGAAGGTATTTCAGGCGTTGGGCCGGTGTGAGATGTAGAAGGAATCAAGAGCATCGAAAGATCTGGGAAGGAGCAGCACCTTGATTTGTTGAGGTTATTCAGATTTGAGAAGAAGAATTGGCGATAGGGATGATATGGGAACTCCGATGATATGATTTCAGGCGTATCGGTGGATTTGAGGCGTAGAAGGAACCGCAGAAGGAAGTTAGAAGCCGTAGATTAGGTGCGATAAAATCCTACGGATGAAAATGAGAGGCCTGGTGAGCGGGAATTCTTTTCCAAGAATCGTAGTGCTATTAAGGAGGGGATTTATGGATTTGCCTAGATTTTGGTGGATTTGAACATGAGACATATTAAGACATTTGTAGACTTTTATTTAACTTTTCTCTTAAAAGAATAAAAAAATGCTATTAAGAATTATCTTTTCACACTAACAAAAACTACAATGTACTTACTATATGAAGAGAAAATTATGTTATCACTTGCATTCACGGTTTCAAAATAATGCAAAAGTGAGTCTGAATGTCATAAAAACATAAATATCTAAAAAGCTATACTAGTTACTAACATTATCCCAAAAACATTGAGAAATAGTAATATTCAAGATATAAACATACAAATAATCCCAGGTACTCAAAATGGGAACAAGGTTCTGGGCAAAAATCCTAATAGTGGATACATATCATTTCAATTTATAGGATATCCATTCTGCACGATCTTCTGCAGTCATGTTAACGAATTCAGCTTTTTTTGCTTTCGTATTAAGCAAATCAAGAGCTCTGAAGCGATCATCAGCACACAAACTCGGGATCTCCTTTATCATATCCCAACAATTATACTCTTTTGTGTCGATTGATTCTATAACACGGGCAAATTTGTCCACATTTTCTGTGAGCTTTTCCATGAACTCTTGGGTGCCTTTCGCATCAATAGACATTGGTTTTTTCTGAAAATCAGTCCTGCTCCGCTTGTTTTTTGATGGGCAAACCTCTGGGCCGGGCTGTTGAGCCGATTGCGGTGCAGATTGAATCTCAGGAGAGGGTGGAGAAGAATGTTGTGCACTTGAACGGACAAATGCATCATTGAGGGGATCATATGCTAATCCATCTAATGTATTACGAGTTCCAGTCAAGTCTTCTATTGTATTGTCACCTACTGCAATGGAATGTGCACCTCTAGCAGTGCCATTACCCACGGCAATTCTCAGATCTTCATAATCAGGATGCGGGTCTGTTCTTAAGCTTGAGTCTTTTGGGTGGGACTAGCAAAAGGAGTTACAAATTTATTTGATTAGGTATAAAAAACAGTGTTCAAATATGATGTATGCATTATGTAATAATAAATAGAGTTCACCTTAAAATAGTTGTCCCACACTTCTTCAGATGCAGTGAAAAACTTTGAATTATGATCCCATCCAAAGCCAGAATTGTGCTGCATGAGAGTACTGTACTTGCAATACAACCTCTTAAAGTATTTCTCACGACTTTTATATTGTGTGTAAGTCATGTCGATTCCAAGGTTGTCGTTAAGAGGCTTTAGTATGTGCAGCTCCACCGTTGACTTGTTTATTTTGCCTGAATGATCACGCCAATTTCGGTTGGCAGCATCAACCATTAGCCGCAGTAGTTCATTGCTTTCTTCATTGGTCCAATTTCGATATCCCGAATCCCCCATGTTGACTGGTCTAAAAAACACAATGTATTTGGATGCACAAACATAAAAAACACAAGGCATTTGTGGGTGCAGTGATTACTGTCATCTTAGATGAGTAATATTAGAGTTATATTGGAGGGTAAAAGACCTAAATGAAGGCACTCCATAGCTCAATTATCAAAAGATGAGTAATTAATAAGAGTAAAATACATAGCGCAACTTATATAACAATTAATTCATTTAAATAAGAGTAAAAATTAAATTAAGTAATACAAATATACCCATTTACAAATAACACGCACGTTTGTTAGAGCAAGTGGGTTGCAGGAGGATGTTGAAACCAATAGCCTATGAATCTGTACAAAGCAAAGTGAATACACACACACCTATTTATAGAGCAAGAAGCTTTTTTATTGATCTTGTTAATCAATTGAACAAACATTAATAGCTATAGCCTATATCCTGCAATATCAGTTCCAGCAAAAGCCTTGTTTTTGCTTCTTTCCAAGTGAAAATAAGCAAACATTACTACTGCACACATTGTCATTTAAGCCAATTACTTATCTAGTAAGGACTTGGAGGCTTATTTCCGTATTTCACTATGCTTATTTTAACTAATGAATACTACAAAGGAATGTTTGCAGATTGGTCACTTGACTAACAATTTCATTCAAAAAACAGACTCAAGCTTAGTCCATCCATTCCTATTTCTTCTTGTAAAAACAGGACCCATAAATTCACATAGAGCTTCAGTAAAAACATATTTCAGTCCCCACTCCCTTGTCATGTCATTTATACCATCCTACTGAACTTATGGTTTTATTAACAACAAAACTTATTTTTACAACAAAAATGATTTTTAAATTTCTTTTGGGAATTTCATCGAACACTTTGGAGGCAGAAAATTTCAACTCTTCCATAAATATTAACAATATGGTTCATTCAAACAAAGAATATGTAACCTGACCAGTGCTTATGAGATGAGCTATAGTATGACTAATCCCGGTCGATTCTGATTATTGGGAAAGGAAAAGAGACATTTGATTCTGATTAACTAGGGATTATACTAGGGATTTAACAAAGAGGAAAAGAGATAACAAAGCTGCAAGGATTTGATTCTGTGGAATGAAGAAAAATGGCGGTCGAAAAGCAAGAGGGTGGAGAAAATGTTTACCCCTGTCGATTGATGCAGCTGTCGATTGTTGTGTTCGAAGGAGCCAGATACCTTCGTGCTTGCTGGGATTTCAAATCTCACGTAAGGGTGTGAGATTTGGGTAATGGGATTTCCTTCTATGTTTGGGCTTACAGGTTTGGATATGTCCACATGTTACCTAGAATCCATGTCTTGATGTCTTAAAATGTCTAGGCTTACACCTAGACATTTTAAGAGTTTTAAAATGTCTTAAAATGTCTTGAATGAATACACCCAGATTTGACAAATCCTAAAATGTCTTAAAATGTCTTGAATGAATACACCCCCCCTTAGTTGAAAGAATCCCTAATCTAGAAAACTTTGACCGAAAGAGAAAGAAGCTGTAGAGGGGTACACAAACGGGATAGGTAAATCGAAGAAGATTACCAAAATACCCTAAAATGTTAGGCGGGAAACTCACTTAGTTGAGTTAACATATATATAGATTTCTATTTCTAGTACAATTAATACTATTATTATATTAACTAATACCATTATTTTTTTGAAATGAAAACTAGCTTATATTAATTCAATTTATCATTCTCCATAAGAAGTACAAAATTATTAATAATATTATAATTATTAAAAAAAAGGTTTCGGACTGGAACCGCCGGTTCCGGTTCTAAATTTTGGGGAAACCGAACCGGACTAGTAAACCTCCGGTTCCAAACCGGAAGTACTGGGCAGTTCAGGTTCTGGTTCCAGCCCAGTTCACAAATCGGCGGTCTAGGTTCGGACCCTATATCCTACATCCGGGTGTAGGTACATCTAGCTCAATGAGGAAGACAACTCGTTGACTAACACAACCAAAATTGTTTTCAATGGCATTTTTGTAATTGAAGAGAAAAATTGTGGTTTCCGCTAAATGAGCGTTAATGTACTTTTAGTGAGTATCAAACTTATTCTATTGAGTATTGTGATGCTAACAATGAGCATCACGGTTTGTGCTTCATATCTTCTAATTCAATTTTTTTCTTACCTTTTTCTTTTATAAAAACGTATTGAATTATATCTATAACACACTCCTACAAATTTCAATATGTGAATTTAATGTAATTAATATGATACTTTTGAAATATGCATTGATATGACATTTTAAAATGAGCATAACATCAGTACCAAATGAGCATATGTAAATTACAAATTGTTCATTGATATGAAAATCGTAAGGTTTGTTAGTTTAACATAACGATTTTCATTGACCATCAAGTCCCCTCTATTGAGATGAAAATTACGATTTCTGTTAAATGAGCATTAATGAACTTTTAATGAGTATCTGACCTAATTTGTTGAGTATTATTAAGCATCGTGAATTCTACTTCATAACTTCTGATTCACTTTCTTTTTCTTGATTTTTCTTTTATATAAATTTTTTAAATTATATCTATAATAGACTCCTATGGATTCCAATATACGAATCTAAATTAATATTAAACTGGGCATCAAGACATTTCATTGAGCATCAAACATCCAATATGGTGATGGAAATCACGGTTTCTTTTGAATGAGCATTAATATATAGTTAATGAGCATGAGATCTAATATATTGAATATTAGGAACCAAACAATCAGTTCAAATGAGCATGCATAACTTACCAAATGTGCATTGATATGAAAATAGTAAGGTTTGTTAGTTCAACATTAAGACATTTTCATTGAGCATCAAACTCTTTCTATTGGAATGAAAATCATGATTTCTATTAAATGAGCAGTAACAAACTTTTAATGAGCATCAGACCTATTCTGTTGAGTATTCAGAGTCCGATATTAAGTATCGTGATTTCCGCTTCATAACTTCTGATTCACTTTTTTTATAAAGATTTTTTAAATTATATCTATAATCATCTTTCCTATGGATGCCAACATACGAATCTAATACAATATTAAACTTTTGAAATATGCATTCATATGAAAGTCGTAAGCTTTGCTCGTTGAGCATGAAGATATTTTCATTGAGCATCAAGTATCCTCTATTGAACATTGAAACTCTACAATTGAGCATAAAATTTGCTCAAGAAATGAACAAAAATTCACTTCGGAATTTTTACGAGCAGTTGGTGGGCATTACATTTTAGAAGATATTTTAATGAAACTATTAGATCACACTAGTTAAATAGAGTGGTGAAGATGTTTCAATCAGATTATCATTATTTTTAATGTTTTCAGAATTCAAATTGAGTCATTTTTGAGAAGAATTTTGTAATTATTCAAATAAAAGAAGAAAAAGTGGAAGGGAGAAGCTCAATGAGTGTTCTTGTGCACAGGGAGCATCGATATAAGAGGCTGCATGGAGTTCAAATTGATATATTAATTAGGCTGAAACTTGAAAAGAATTACAAAAATACCGGGGGTATAGGTAAACCCGGATGTACCTTATGCTTTGCGAAATAGGTCTCCCAAAAAAAGGAAAAATATCATCAAAATTTATATGTATACATCAATCGGCTCGAAGATCGGAGATGTTCCCATTGTGGTCTTTTTTTTTTAAACCGGGACAACTTGTTTGTGACATTAAGGGCTTCATTTTGAATAGTCAGATTGTTCTGTTGAGATCTGGTTTGGACAATTTCTACACCTTGGTGTGCTATTTTGATCTCTCATTGTTCTTTTGGTGATTGTTGGTGGGTTTTGAAACTTTTGTGGACTGATTTGGGGTTTTTTACCCTCATTGATCAATATGAGAAGTAAGGATGGATCCTCAAGAGGTCTCGTAGTTTGTTATCCGGCCTTCACATTGAAGGATTTTCCACGTAAAAAAATCGGGTGTGCTCCTTGTGCTTGATTTCCGTTAGTTGTGATTTATATTGTGTAATAGTGTTGATTGTGAGTGGTAATTTGGTTGTGTGACAATATGGGTTGATTGGATTGCATATTTAGTTGATTGTATCGAGTGTGTGACATTTTGAGTGTCATAGGGATCCATTATTTGATCCCTACAACTTGGTATCAGAGTCGGAGTTTAATTTGTACACGTTACGCGTAAATGTTTGTACACACAGAAAACAGGCAACTCTCCTAGTTGCTTGTGTACATAGACAACTTCCATAGTTAGAATGTTCTTACTTAGACTAAAATTTGCTGGTCTGATATAGTACAGTACATTCAAGTCTAATATGGTCTGATAAATGTCTGATTCATGTGTATTTTTTTTATGAATGTAAAAATATACAACTAACCAAAAAAAATTACACCATCACAAGGGCATTCCCACAAAACACATGAGCATCACAAAACCTTGCTTTAGTGCACCAATGGTATCAAAACAACCAAACAACAGAAAATAAAAAACCAATCAAAATGTGAGGGTAAAGTCTAAAGAGCAGCTTATACACGGTGATCTTGATTTGTTGAATAAGAGTGTACACCGTAGTACAGATTTAGCAAAAATTTCAGCATTCATCGCTTCCCAAACCAAGTAAATTGTAGCATTTAGGGACAGTCTAACTGCCTTACTAACTATCTGAGCGCCTCCACATTGCTTAGTTCTTACACATTTTACTTCACTTAGAGTAGTGGGGTTTCTTCTTAGTTTTAACCACTCCCTTATCCCTTTCCAAATATGTCCAATACCGAGACAAAGAAAGAACAAGTCTTCCACAAAACAACATCCCCTATTAATGTACATGTACATGAGATTGTCACAAGTGAGCAATCTATTTCTCAAACCAAGCCATAAAATAAATGAAAATTTAGGAGAGATATATCTTTTCCAAATAGGGGGCATCCACTGCTTGTTACTCCCTTTGATTCTAAGCAAATCATATACCGTACTAGCTGACAGTCTACCGTTAAGGCAAAATGAGTTCAGTTAATGAGTTCATATACCATATGTGTCTTGTCTCCCGTTTTAAGAATCAACTCTTCTTTTACCTTCACCAATTTAGCTAGTAGAGGACATTCCACCTGGAGGCACCCAATCCCACACACTAGCCCTTAATATGGACTGTATGCATCCATTTTACTCGGAGAGTATCCTTCTTGGAGTGAATACCGCGAAGAGTTTTAGCTATGTGTATTTTATTATCGTGAAAGTCTGATCTGATTTATTTAAAACTAGTTTGATTTGATTTGGTTCATTTAATTCTGATCTAAAACTGAAAAACAATTCAAATAAAAATATTCTTACCTATTATATACACAAGCAAGTTGTGCAGACGCATAGAACAATGGATTGAGATCCTCTGCCTTAAGGCAGAGTGCCTTGCTCAAATGGATGGCACAGATCGAAAAGCAGGCCTCGAGATTCGTGCAAAAAATGGGACCCTTAATCTTCAACCCTTAATTTTTTTGATCTGATGAATGAAAACAGCCAGGCACCCTCCTTGGCTGCTTAACCAAGGTAGAGACGTCGGATCCTAGAACAATTACGTGTTATGTCACTTATGTGTACAAAAAAAGGTATACATTTCGTCTACGTGTAAAAGAGGTCATGGAATAATTTGACGTTATCCTGCCCCGACTCCTGAGAAGGTTCTTTCGCAACTTGCCACTGAGGAGCGTGCAATAATTGAAGAAAATGTTGGGTCACCACTTTGTAGGTTGACTAAATGGATGGAGTAGCAGTGCCGCACGTTTTTCCTAATCCCGAGTCTTCCTCTGACTTGTCAATGCCCTTTGAACGGAACAACTCTTAATGAATGAAACATGATGCGCAGTATCCATCAAAAGGTACTCCGTAACTCGGTAGCTGCATAGAGGGAAAAGAAATTGGGAAATTCTTTGTCAAGAAAAGAAAAAAGAAATTGTTTGGGACGAAAAAGAAAATTTGAAGATAATATTGGAAAAATGAAGTACTATTTACATACATCGTCTTTTTATTCTGACTAGCTGATCTAGATTTTATCAGTTTTATTTTCTCTCGAGAACAAATTATTGAATTTTAAGAGAATAAATATGTTCTTAGAGAGCAAATTGTCACTAGGGCAATACTTGGTTTGTGCATATCTCCCTGCATAAAAAGTCACCCTGAAATCTGAATTGATTAGGCGCGCCCCAAGGTATAATTTATTGCGCAACTGCAGTGAAGATTATCACAAATTGATCAACATTCGAGATACAAAAGTGAAATTTATTATTAGAGAAAAAGGATAACATAGGGGCGAGAATTAAGAGTTGTTTTCACAGGTTGAAGATATTGTCTATGATGAATTATGCTCCTCTCCATTGACAGGATTGTCTAGTAAGAGAGAGTGAGAGATAAGAAGATGGTGGATGGTGTAGGGAAAAATAAAGAGTCTGGTATGATTTGTGGTTTGTATGAGAGAGATATAGTAAAAACGAATTCAAGAGGATGAAATGAAGAAAATGAAATATAGAACATGACCATATACGGAGTACTTAAAAAGAAATTGAAGAGGATGAATTGAAGAGGATATCGTATTACGGTATTAGCCATCATGAAAGTCAAGTTTTTTTAACTCCTTACTACATATTTTGATGATTAAAATTTTGAAGTAGCCCACATGAAAGTCAAGTTTTACACTACTTCCATAGTTCCATTCCAAAAGCAACTTCTCCTTTTCATGGAAAGGCCACCGACATTTTTATTTAAATATTAGGTTTCCAGCATTTTCTTGCATGTCCAGTAATAGTACTTCATAAAAATCTCTCTAGCATAAATACATATAGCTCAAAAGAATTTGTTTTTCCAAGGGAGCATTAGTTATGAGGCTCTAAAGAACTCGTATATCGAGAGGTATTGAAACTAGTACTCCATCCAATAAAAAGGTTCCCACACAATTTACACTATTTGAATGATCATAAAGTTAATTGATTCTAATTAAGTTTTGTTTATTAAATAAAATTTACAAGTTTTATAAAATTGCAAACAAAATTAAATTTGATAAAAGTTGAATATATAAAGTAAAATATAGGGAAAATTGTCAAATAGGTCATCGAACTTTCATAAAAAAGTCAACTAAGTCCTTCTATAGGAGACTCTGTCCGGCCATCGCGATTTGGGGTGGTTCCCGATGAAATTTTTTGATGAAATTTTTTGAGCATCTTATTCATCAAGTCTAGTTTACTGATACTAAATTTCAGCTAGAAATTTAATCGGGAGCGCATTCAAATTAATTCAAGAACGCAAAAATGTGCAGTTATCTTCAAGAATTAATTTGAATGTGTTCCCGATTAAATTTTTAACTGAAATTTGGTATGAGTAAACTAGACTTAGTGAATAAGGTGCTCAAAAAATTTCATCAAAAAATTTCATTGGGAACTGCCCTAAATCGCGACGGCCGGACAGAACCTTCTATAGAAGGACTTAATTGATCTTTTTATGAAAATTCGAGGACCTATTTGACAGTTTTCCCTAAAATATAAGAAGAGTTTACATTAGATAATTCTAACACCATTTCCAAAAAAGATACAGTCACATTAGATGATTCTAACACCAAATCTACTTCTTATAAATATAGATTTTTGAATAAAATACAAGACGCATTAAAAATCGTATATATTTATACTCGATATGATCACTACCTTTTCTGTGATTCAGCATCAAAGTCAACATTTGTGTGTTGGTCATGGAGGCGGCCTACGTCTCCCTCAGTCTCCTCCTAAAACAATGAGTGGGGTCACGTTTATATCATTATTGAAGACTACACACACAACTATATAGATTAAAAATCCTACCTTCTCAAGAACCAGCAAAGAGCTATGTAATACGTATACTACGTAGATTAGAATCAAAACCAGCAAATCTTAGCTCTCGAGAAAAGCGGCTTCGATAAAATTGCCCAGCATGTCCATATACACCTCATCATCCTCTACTCAAATCAGCCTCTCTTTTTTAGCGTTCTTAATCTTAACTCTCCCCTTCAATGGAGAATCCCAAACCAGTAGCCTGAATCCTGAAAAGTCAATCCTTCTTGATTTAAAGAATCAATTCTCAAACCCACCAAACATCTCCCACTGGACTCCATCTTCTGACCACTGTGCCTGGTCAGAAATCACCTGCAATGGCGGCGTGGTCACCGGAATCCATCTGGGCTGGCTACTAATCAACGCCACAATCCCATCCTTCATCTGTGACCTGAGAAATCTGACTTTCCTTGATCTGAACCACAACTTCATCAGCGGAGCATTTCCTACAGTTCTCAACAATTGTTCTAAGCTTGAGTACTTGGACCTTTCTTATAACTTATTCAATGGCATCATCCCAGCTGATGCCACCAACCTCCCTCCTAATCTTCAGGTTTTGAACCTTACCGCTAATTGGTTTATAGGTGGCATCCCAGCTGGAATTGGAGGCCTGGTAGCGCTAAAAGAGCTCCAGCTTACACAAGCTTTTGCAAATGGCTCATTCCCTTCAGAGATTGGGAGTTTGTTGAATCTTGAAGTTCTTGTTATGAACCAAAACGCCTTTTCACCCCAGGAAATCCCGCCAAGTTTTACCCAGTTGAAGAAACTGAGAAATCTGTGGATAAGTGAAGCCAATTTGATAGGCGAAATCCCAGGAAATATCAACAACATGGAAGCATTGGAGTTCTTGGATTTGTCAATAAATTGCTTGACTGGAAATATTCCCAGGGACCTGTTGTCGCTCAAGAATTTGACCACCGTTTACCTCTACAACAACATGTTGTCCGGGCCGATCCCTATGCCTGTTCAACCAGCGGATTTGAAACTAACTGATGTTGATTTTTCTAATAACAGCTTGACAGGAAGCATCCCTGAAAATTTTGGGGAGCTGATGAAATTGGAGGAATTGACTCTATTCATGAATCAATTATCTGGCAAAATCCCACTAGGTTTGGGCAGGTTGCCAGCTTTGTCTCTTGTTAAGCTCTTCCAGAACAACCTTGTAGGCGAAATTCCACCCGATTTTGGCCGATTTTCGAAGCTTCAACTTTTTGATGTCTCCTCAAACCATCTTACAGGATCTCTGCCAGATGGATTGTGTGAGAACAAGGTGCTGAATCTCTTAATAGCCTTCAATAATAATCTCACAGGTCACTTGCCAAGATCACTTGAGGAGTGCAACACCTTGAATGTTGTCCGGGTTGAGAAAAACAACCTTTCTGGCGATATTCCTTATGGTTTGTGGACATCTGTGAGTTTGGCCAAGTTGATGATTAACAATAACCAGTTCACTGGCCAGCTCCCACAAGGGCTGCAGCTGCCCTCGAACCTATCTCTAGTTGATATCAGCAATAACAGATTTTCGGGTGGAATTCCTCCTGATATCTCCATGTGGAGCAATCTTATTACTTTAAGGGCAAGTAATAATCTATTGACAGGTGAAATTCCACAAGAGCTCACTGTTCTTAGATCATTATCTGTTCTTATGCTTGACGGAAATATGCTTTCTGGAAGCTTCCCCTTGAATATTACATCTTGGAAGTCTCTGTCGACATTGATATGCAGCAGAAATCAGCTTTCAGGGAAAATACCACCCGCATTAGGTCTTTTGCCGAACCTTAATCAGCTGGATCTCTCTGAAAACCGATTCTCAGGAGAAATTCCACCTGAAATAGGCGATTTAATAACAACTTCACTCAATCTGTCCTCCAATCGTCTCTCAGGAAAAATCCCCGAAGAGTTGGAAGGTGCAGCATTTGGGAAGAGCTTCCTGAATAACCCTTCTCTCTGTGCTGCTACACATACACGGGGACTCCGATTTTGCGATGAAAGATCTGGTAAGGTTTCAACCAAAATTACTGCCATTCTCGGAAGTCTAGCGGCGTTTCTATTTCTAGTCGTCGTTGCGTACACACTGTTTGTTTTCAGAAGCTACCAGAGAAGGAAGAAAGCGGCGGTCGAAGATTGGAAGCTCACCCCGTTTCACAGCCTGAGCTTCACGGAATCGAGCATTTTACCGAACCTGATGGAGAAGAATGTAGTCGGAAGTGGAGGATCTGGAAGAGTGTATGTCGTCCCGTTGAGTCGATCAACGGGAGAGAAAGTCGCCGTCAAGAAGATCTGGAGCAACCACAAGCTGGAAGAGAGCCTCGAGAAGGAGTTCCTCGCGGAAGTGGAGATACTCGGCACGATTCGCCATTCCAACATTGTGAAGCTTTTGTGCTGCATCTCCAGCGAGGAATCGAAGCTGCTGGTCTACGAGTACATGGAAAACCGCAGCCTGGATCTGTGGCTTCATGCAAAGAGAAGATCAGCCGACCAACTCCTGGATTGGCCGACGAGGATGCGTATTGCAATCGGAACTGCTCGAGGGCTTTGCCATATGCATCACAACTGCTCACAGCCGATTGTTCATCGAGATGTGAAATCCAGCAATGTTCTGTTAGACTCTGAGTTCAATGCCAAGGTTGCAGATTTCGGACTGGCCAGAATATTATCGGGACATGGCGACTCTAACACTGTCTCATCGGTTGCCGGATCCTTCGGTTACATAGCTCCTGGTAAGCCACCATATGACCCATTATGTCTTAAGTTACCATTTCTAATTTCAAAATTCTTCTTCTACACAATTTGTTGTACGCATAATTTTTGTGAAACATTATTATTTATCTGTGAATTAGCTTGTTCATATGCAAAGCAGTTACAGACAAAAAATAAGCTCACGGACGTTCCTTGTAGCAAGTTTTATTTCACCTTTTCATCTTCCCGTTCTGATTTCAAACATTTTCACCCTGTCTTCTATTTTTCACACTTTTTACACTTCCCCGACGTTATCAATTGGTAGGGTTTTTATTCAATTTCCCTGAAAAATCTACAGTTAGAAATAAAAACATACCAAGAATTATTATTAAATTGCAAATACTTCTTTTAATTGACAAATCCATGCGCGAAATTCAAACATACCTTACATTCGGGACGAAGGAGTAAACCTAACTTTGAAATTTGAAATTTGAAAATTATCATAATTTTGTGTAATGTTGATTCCAGAGTACGCTCATACGAGGAAAGTGAACGAGAAAGTGGATGTGTATAGCTTCGGAGTGATCCTTCTGGAATTGGTGACGGGTAGAGAGCCGAACGACGAAGAAGAGGAGTGGTGCCTAGTGGACTGGGCGCGCCACCACGTGGAAGCAGGAATTGCGATTGGGGAAGCCCTAGACGAAGAGATCACGACGGCGAATAACTTGGGCGAAATGTGTGGCGTTTTCAGGCTAGGAATCTTCTGTACGGCTCCGAATCCGGCCAAAAGACCCACCATGAAAGAGGCTCTGCGGATCCTCCAACATTGCACCGATCTGTTGCCTAATGGAAGACAAAAAACAGATTTCAATGAGCATGACGGTGCACCGCTGCTCAAGAGTTCTAAATGCTGATATACATGGCATTTGGAATATGGAGATGAAGGTTGTGATGAAGCCTTTTGATGTAATTTGAAAGGAGGTAAACTGAATTTCTAGAGTGCAAGTCTCTGAGTATTGATCATCTGGAGAATTTGGTTTAATCGAAGTGGGTAGTCCGGCTGGCCTCTGCGAAGCATGTTTATTTAAGATTCAACTATACACGTTTTTGTACCCATCAGTACACGCATGTGTCTGTGAGAGTTTTTTTTTGTCTGTGAAGTGCGGTCCACAGACAAAAGCTGGTTTGTTTTGTCTGTGAAATTTTCCACAGACAAAACAAGCGAACTTATGTCTGTGGACCGCACTTCACAGACAAAAAAAAACTCTCACAGACACATACGTGTACTGATGGGTACAAAAACGTGTACAAAAGGAATTTTTGATTTAAGATTACCTCCTTCCCACATTTCAGGTGGTTTCTTTTGGTTTGTCACAATTAGTCAATTATTAAGGAAGAATGATCAAATAAAGGCTTCTCCTATTGCAAAGTAATCACATAAGCACATTTTTTACTCGATAAGGTAAATGATCAAACATGTTCCTTTAGAACATTTCCAATATAATAATGTATACGGTGCACATGTGGCACGAGAGATAATCATATAAATAATACTACCTCCGTTCCCCTACGTTTGAGACAAGAAAATGTGGCACGGTTATTAATAAACGTGGGTTTATGTGGTTGATATTGAATTGATAAAGTAAGAATAAAGTATGAATGATTTAGAACCACACAAACTTTACCAAATAAGGTATGAGACAATCTTAGTGGGACGGGCCGAAATAGTAAAATGGGACAATCATAGCGGGACGGAGGGAGTACTATTTTATATAATTATTCACTGCAATGTAAATCACATTGTGGAGAAAAACTTATCGAAATTGTATAAAATCATTCAATTAAGGAGAGATATAATTTATTTGCTAACATTTATGTGGTTATCTCTCATGCAACATGTGTACTCGTGCACATTTTAACATTGAAGATGTTTTTATACACCTAACTTCTGTTTATCTTTCTTTTCCATTTCTTTTCCTTTTGTTTTACTTCTTGTTGTACTTTTTACTAGTCAAGTTTTGTTTATCTTTTTTCCTCCTTTTTCCTTTTCTGTATATTTTTGTTCACTTGGTCTCTTTGAAGTCCCCTAGTTTTATTGCTTTTATTTCATTCTCGCCTCCTAACAGTTTGTGTTTGCAAATTTTTTTAAAGAAGTTTTCCTAAATGGGGTAAAAATGTTTGGAAATTCTAAAATAGGAGTAAATATATTTGAGAATTCTACAATAAAAATGTTATATTTTTATTCTCAATTGTTTGTACTCCTATATAGGGAATTTCCCCCTTTCTTTATCATTTTTTTCAATTAATCGCAGACCATACTTTTTGTCCTTCAATTGTTTTCATATTGAAATAGTTCTCATCTATCTAGTGCACAGTGGCGGACTTACAGTATAATGAGGGTGTGCACAGTCTACCCCTAAAAAATGGTCATTAGCCTAGATGGTTTAGCAATATTTTTAGAATCTAACAGTGTTTAACGTCAGGTGTTCGAAGCTACTTGGGTGCATTCACTATTTTTATTTTTAAATACAGCATTCAAAATCGTTTTACCTTGCATCACTGCCCATGCTAAAGTTACGGATCCAAATTGGAAGCCCAAATTACAAATAGTGAAATAGGTATATATCTAAATGCCCAATAACATTTTTTTGAAACAAATTACTCAAATACGTAAAACAAAGAATAATCAAACGTAAAATAAACTACTCACATCTTATGGGTCCACTAATCACTCCTCTTCAAGTACTTATTCTTTCAATTGAAATGACAAGGGTTCGGTATCACTGCCGCCTAGAGTAGCATCGTTTTTTCTTCCCAATTCTTTTTTGTTTCAGCCTTCGCTATAAGGTTAGGACGGGAACGGAGGTGGGTGCCGGTGTCCTCGTTTGGATTCGTCGACGGAGGGGTTGTTCTTGTTCTTCCTCGATTTCTTTCTTTCGGTTCGTCTTTTTGTAGTGATCGAAGGCTCGGTCGCAGAGAGGTAATACACAGATAGGAATTCTTCTTCTTTTAATATATGGAGGAGGTGGTGGAACAATACCAAAAAATGGCTTTGGAAAAAGACAACAACACGCTCAACTTTGATGATGATGATGATGAGGTAGATCCAACTATAAAAGAGGGGGGATTTCTGGTGGTGGGTGTGACACCGCTCCCGAAGGTCCTTGAAAATTTGATTTAAAATTCAAAGTTTATGTATTGGATTTCCGATTCCCAAACATTTGTTAAACGATTAATGTTTTACGTAATTAATGACCGATTATTATACTGTTCGAACTCGTATATTAGTATCGGGCTTGCGAATACTCATTTTGGGCCCAACCTGCTAAAAATAGCAAGTATTCGAGAATGGCGTTCTGGATCCACTCGGGGGTGACCCACACGGCTAGTAGCCCAATAATATGTATGACAAATGTCAAATAAGTGATAGGATGATTAAAGAAGAATACAAATACCTATAACCCCACCTTTGGCCTTATTGAGCTAAATAATGGGAGTAGGATTTTCCTTCTATAATATCTATCAAGTAAATTATTGGGATGAGCCTACACATATTGGAGATCAATAATGTGATTTGAGAAGTTGACTTGTTCTAAATAAATTAGGATGAGTACAAAAAGACATCTTTTGACAAAGATAAAACAATAGGACCCATTTTCCCCATTTTTGGAAGTATTGGTAGATAATTTGGATCCCAAAATGATTGGGATCAATTGGGAACCACTCCACATGATATTAGTACCTGCAAGACAAATAAAAATGGGTTAGGAGACTTACCTTGGCCGGCCATTATGGAGAAGAGCTGCACATGACTTGATAAGAATCAAAGTTTGGGGCCACCACTCTTATTTTCGCACAAATTGGTGTGCTGTTTGTCTCCTCTCATTATAGGATCTATCCTCAACCAAATAACGTGTATGAGGTGTCCTTGGATAGCTTTTGAAGTCTATTTTTATAATTGAGTGGTCTCAATTCGAGAGGAGAGAGCAATCATCCAAAAATCGATCTGGAACGAGCAGAGGTCTGTGAACTCGAGCTGTGAGAGTGCTGAGACTGTTTGGTCGATATCTCGAGTTTTACAAATCCAATTAAGGCGTGTGAGATACCCACAGAAAGCTCTCAAGACGAGGAATCCGTGAAGGTCTGGTTTGCAGGAATCGGAGTTGTGGAAGGCTTCCAAATCGTCCGAGCAAAACACAACCTCGCAGGAGAGGATTTAATCTTCTAAAAGTGAGTTTTAACCCCAAAACTTTACTTTTCATTTTCCAAATGATATGAACGATTGGTGGGACTATCATACACTAATCCAAGTGTATAATATGTCCTTATAAAGTTATTTTAGTGATGTAAAGGTTAGATACTAACCTAGAGCAAATCTTGGAAAAACTAGGAAACGAGTTGACCGGGAAACACCCGTTCTAGGGGCTGTTTTCGTATCAACGATTAAGGGTTGAACTAGCACTTTGAGGAGGCTGTTTAACACTCATATTTGAGCAAGGAATCAGTTCCAAATCCACCTTGACCAAAGCTTTGACCATTGGACCAAGAAGGGAAAGTTTAAAGCTCAATTGAGGTGAGGATTGACATCTAATTGCTTACAACTTGTAGGTTAAGCATGAGATTACCTAAATGCTTAAATCATGATTTTTCATGGATTATGATGACTATATATTGATGAAATATTGATATAGTTGCCAAAGAATGAATTTGGAATGATTTGAGAAAGTATGAATAATATGAGATTAAATGAGTATAAATGAACTATTTTGTGAAAATGGGCATTTTGCTCATGTATGAATTATGTGGATACATAAATGAATATTTGTGTATTGAGATTGAATACTTAAGTTGCTGCTACATAATTATAAATATGTAGAGAATTACAAACAATGAGGATAATGGTACGATAACAATAATCTTAATAGTATTGGAATACTAGTTAGTGATTATTGGAACTTGTTGATTAAATTGATCCTAGGGATTGGATTGTATGAAAGGTACTTGAATGTAGTTCAAGTGTATATAATAACTTAGTATGGAACTAAGGTTAAGTGATGGGAAGTCTTTAAGGATGACCCATGGTAGTTTAATGATATGTCAATTCTAGGCATAGGGTTGCTTGAGAATTGGACCTTAATGCATGGTGATGTGGTAGAGCCGAGCTCTAGAATGCATGTAAGGTGTAGACTTGGAGTCTATGTATTGTATAGCTAGAGCCGAGCTCTAGGACTTGCGTGGTGTTGTGGTAGAGCCGAGCTCTAGAACGCAAGGTAAGGAAATTGACCCGAGGTATATGAATTGTATGGTGATGTGGTAGAGCCGAGCTCTAGAATACAATGTCATGTACTAGGGTTGGACTCTAGGAGTTGTCGTGGCTTATAGTCACGGGGTTGGGAATGGTGATTTCCAAATGAACATGGGCCCACGGGCCGTCTACTTGACTTTTATATAAAGTAAGTATATTTTTAAACGGGGTAACTTGGGGTTACAATCATAATGTACTATCACCCTATTTGAGGGTCTTGTGTTTGAAATACTTGTTGTATATCTATTAGATGCCTGCCACACCAGCACTTTATAGCCGTATAGAGTGCTGACCCCTTCGGGGGCGTCCCACCACCATTTTTCAGGTTGAGGCTAGAGCTTGCTTCCTGTGCTCGTTGCTCGAGAGATCATCTAGGGGCGAAGACTTGGTTCGTGCTTCCTCCATTCGGATTTTAAACATTAATAAACATGCTCATGGATATTTTATTATAGAGCCTGCGTGCTCATGAATAGCCCTGTGTGGCCCTTTTGTTTTAAACAATGTTTTCCGCTGCTTTATGAATTACTTATTATGTTGTTTATGGATGACTTGTGTGTGAATGATATTCATGACGCCTTGTATAATATGAATGTGTTGGACTGCGGTTGACTATTCGTATTGTACGGCGGGTTGTCGACGTGTCCGGGGAGGTCCGGGGCGTGACAGTGGGTGTCATCCTTACAGACCGGAAAGTCCGAATTCAGGCAGTACAGGACCTGTTTGCATCGGCCGCTCTGGAGACTAGGAAGAGGTATGGCAGTCCAAGAAATTGACGAAAAAAGGTACCTATTCACCTTTTATCATATACTACCTCCGTCCCCCTAAGTTTGGGACAAGAGAAGGTGGCACGGTTTTTAATAAAAGTGGGTTTATGTGGTTGATATTGAATTGATAAAGTAAGAATAAAGTAGGAATGTTTTGGAACCACACAAACTTTACCAAATAAGGTATGAGACAATCTTAGTGGGACGGACCAAAATGGTAAAATGGGACAATCATAGCGGGACGGAGGGAGTAGTTGATATGAATTGTGCTATGGAGGATGGTCCTTGGCTATTTGAGAGAAATCTGTTATTGCTAAAGGTGGTTGGTCCTAATGATATACCACATATAATGAATTTGTTTGAATCTGAGTTTTGGGTGCAAGTGCACAATGTTTTGTATAAGTTCATGAATGTGGGCACTTCTAGAAGAGTGGGTAATTACATTGGGGAATTTATTAGTTTTGATGAAAGCCATTTTAAGGCAAAATGGAGTTCATACTTGAGAGTTAGGGTGAAGATGGATGTGAGAAGACCTCTGAAAACGGGTTCTACTTTGACAAAGGGGGCGAAGGACACTGGGTAGATTTCAAGGATGAGAAATTACCAATTTTTGCTTTATTTGTGGAATAATGGGACATTCTAAGAAATTTTGCCCACTGAAATATGTGGAAGATATTGTTCTGGAGAAATCTTTTAGAGCTGACCTGAGAGCAGGAGGAGGGGGAAAGACTAGCCCCACAAGAGGTAGTAAGTGGTTGGTGGATAAACAGGGAGGTCCGAGTCATCAGAGGAGGTTTCATCAAGAAGATGAAGGCATTATGAGACAGGGGCGCAAGGGGAACACAACTGAGACAGAAGGTAGCGACACAAAGGAAGAGGAAATAAGCAGTTCCGTGGAGGTCTGAGTTGACCAGAAGCGCAGACGAGTCTGGAAGGATCCGACGCAGGAGAACAACTCAGGGGAGGAGATGGCACTGGACAAAGCAAAAAACGGGGAGGAGGTGAGTCTGAATTCCTAGGCCCGCCTGATGTGTTCGTGAGGCTGGGGGTGAAGAAGATCCAGTTTGGTGTTTTTTTTCTGTTTGTTTGTTTTGTTTCGTTCCACGCTCAGACTGTTGTTTTTGGTTTTTGTTTTGTTTTTTCTTGTAAGACTCTGGCATTAGGTTTGGATGATGAGAGTTCCGCAGTAACCATTGTTGACTCAATTATGCCCAGTTTAGGATCAACGAGTTATACTGCTTTCGTGAAGGTGGTTAACTCAGAGTCTGGCCCAATGGCGGATGGTTATCGGTGGTACTCTTGTTATTTTAGACCATTGCTGAATGCTTCTATTCTAATATAAGTCTCCTTCATCCAAAAAAGTACTTATTCTTTCAATTTGTCCTTTAATCTCAAGTAATAAATTCTTATTAGTATTTTATTTAACACGAAAATGTTCTTTGAATTTTACTACAATTTTGTTAATGTATAATTTTATTTTTGTTATAATCCTATTAAAATGTAATTGTAATATTATGAGGCCGTTTGGTAGTCTTGCTTTTCAGCTTATCGGGCTTATCAGCCAATTTTTTCACCAAACACGTAATTTTTGATTTCGCGCGCTGAGTTGTGTAAGAATAAGAAAAAGTGAGGTTGGAGTTACTTTTCTGGCTGTATTGGCAGAAGTTACTTTAGACGATCGTTTCAACTATTTTTACCTATTACTTTTTCTTTATTTTATTAATAATATATATATATATATATTATATATTATATGTATACTATATATATTATATATATATTATATGTATACTATATATTATATATATATATATTATAATATATAATATATATTATATAATATATATATATATTATATATTATATAACATATAATATTATATATATTATATAATATATATAATATAATATTTAAATCAATAGAATCAGCCAATCCAGCCACTTCAACCAGAACTTCATAAATTTCGTTAGAATTAGCCGGTTCAGCCGATTTTCGTATTACCAAACGGCAACAGGGGCGTTTTTAGGGGGTTTAATAGGTTATCCAGAACAGGGCCCCCATATTTAAAGGGCCCCATATTTTAAAAATTTATTAGTAATTATATTAATATTAATATAGATACATCATTTTTCGTTGGTCCTTTTATTCTTTTAGTTCTCTTTTAATGAGTATTCCATTGATTTGAGTATAAATATTTCGATTGAGATTTTTTTTATAATTTTTATATTAATTTGGGGCCCCGCTTTTACATTTTGAACCGGGGCCTCCAAATTCATTAGACGGCCCTGCCAAACGGGCTCTATATGTGTGCATACGCTGGCCTCCGATGCCTAGGTCCGCCCCTGCTAGTGCAACCTAATTTTTTTTTTCGTATTTTCACATATCTTTTTACTCACACAACTACACAAGGATAAATATTAATGTCAAAAATGAAGATTCCAGAAGAAAGAGGAGAAATGAACGTACTGTCATAGGGGCCTAGGGGGGAGGGACAAGATAGAAAAAATTAAATAAAAAAGAAGTAGAAATAAGACAAATGTTTAATGACCTGCTATTACTGGTTGGATTCAGGTTACTTGACTAATTGATTATTTTATAGCAGTAAATGTGTTTGGTTGATACTTTTTGGAAGTAAAAGGGATTAAGTGATGATTGTGAACTAGTAAAAGAATTTATTTGATCCTTTCTTTAATTATTAATAAAGTGAATCAAAAAGTAAAAATTGTGGTTAAGATTTGAACATTTTATTTTTTTCCTCGAAGAAGGCTTAATTCATAGAAATAGCATTCAACAAGGGTACAAAAACATAAAAGAACCACATATAACCATCAGCCCGTGGCTAAGACTGAGAGTTAACCACATGTAAAAAAGCAGTATAACTTGCTAGATCAAATTTGGACAACTTAAAGCCAATGACGGTTACCGCAGAACTTCGATCCCTCAACCTAATGCAAGAGTCCTACAGGGCGTAGAAAAATAAAAGTACAACAGAACATAGCATTCGAAATAAAAGCAAAACAAACAAACAAACAATAAAGGTAACACCATCACTTGTCCTCTTCATCATCACCACCGTAAGAAAACTCGGCGGGTCTAGGAAGATTGACCCCCCGCCTCCCCATTTTTTAACCCATCCAGAGCCATTCCTTCGCCAGTTGTATCTTCTTTGGCCTGATTGTCCCAAATCCTTCGCCAGTTGTATCTTCTTTGGCCTGATTGTCCCAAATCCTTCTGCGTTTTGTGTCTCCAGGAGTTTCTTCCTTGTCATCTATCTCGTTCTGGCGTGGCATACTGGTCTTGGATTCAGCCGAAAAATCTCCCCCGAGATCAGCCTTCCGCTGAAGCCCATATCCACTTGAACTATAAGCTTCACTAGATAACCGCCTGTTGGGTACTCCTGTAGGGCTGGTCTTCACTCTTCCTCCTGCTCTGAGTCCCACCCCAAAAGTTTTCTCAGCTACAATACCCTCTTCATACTTCAATGGACAAAATTTATCAGAATGTCCGATTATACCACACAAAAAACGGAAGCTGGGTAATTTTTCATATTTAAAGTTCACCCAATGCTTCACCCCATTTTTAGTCAAAGTAGAGCCTTTTTTCAAAGGCTTACAAACATCCAGACATACCCTTATATGCAGATAAGAACTCTGTTTGCCATCAAACTGGCTCATCTCAAACTTAATAAAAGAGCCTAAAAGTTTACCAATTTTCCTGGCAAATCCCAAGTTTCTAAACTTAACAGAGGCATTATGAACCTGTACCCAAAAACTAGCCTCAAATAAATTCATCAATTCAAGTATGTCATCTGGCTGAACAGCTTTCAACAGTATCAAATCACGTTAAAAAAACCAAGGGCCATCCTCAATCACACGGTTCATATCTTAAACATGATTAAAGTTTAGCAGATACCTTTTTTCTCCGATCTCCTTGATGGACATACCTCTCCATGGTCTCCAGATTGAAGTCATTAGTTCTCGGAAGCCCGGTAATTTGACCCTACGGTCAGAGACGACGACCGCAACCACCGGGAAGACCTTCGGGTCGTTCTCCTCCTCTCCACCTTCCTCCACTTCCTCATCAAAATTAAGCTTGTTCTCATGTTCCTCCATTGTCATCTTCTTGTACGAGTTGACTATGTCTTCCATCTGGCGATCTCCTTCGATTGAAACCCCCTGCTCCAACCTTGCGCTCGAAGCTGATGCTGCTGTGTCTATTCCCTTTTCTTGCTGCCAGAATCCTTCCCCGCATATGAGCTACCGACCTTCGTTATGCACGAAATTGAAAAAATCAAACCCTAGCGGCCGAGCCCTAAGAAGACCGAAGTTTTAGAGAGAAAGGCTCTCAAGCTCCACCATAATGGTTGAGATTTGAACATAATAAAGTGAAATATTGTAAACCACATATTTCTTTCAAAAAAAGAAAATGCGACACTTATTTTGGTACAAACCAAAAATGAAGGGAAGATAGCTGAAATGGGACGTAGAGAGTATTTCCGCTTATTCTTTGAATTTTCAAACGCAACAAAAATATTGACAAAGTGCACAAATAACATTATATATATTTTGTCGTAACATAAGAATTATGTGATATTATTCAAACTATAAAAACGAATGACATAAATAATACTATGACTTTTCCTAAGGGTTTGCGAAACCAAATTGGAGGCTCTCAAGAAAGGGGAAGAAGGTTAACACGAGGAAGAAACGTACCTTATATAGTGGGAATCCCAACGCCTCTCGAACTGCTTTGGAACCGCTACCAAGGCACTCGAGTGCTGAAGTTGGTGGGGCAGAATTGGGAGCTGTGAAATAAGACATATGTCACTTACAAATCGGAAAAGGGAAATTCAAATTTGAAAGACGCATTACTCTCACAAAATTAAGCCAGACTTATTTGAGAGAGTAGGGAGGTTCGAGATGGTACCATGGATCGCAGCCATGGCCCAAGAATGAGTGATGTAAAGCCCATTACTCGGGAACAACATACCAATCCCATTGATCGGGATTAATTAATAATAGCTATTGGGCCTAACAATGAACTCGACCAACGAGAGGAACCCACAACCAGATCACCGGATCTGGATAGCAGACCTCGAGCCTGGGCGGGATTCTAGCGAGATCGGACTTATCCCAGGACTTACGTGACAGGCCATCTGTTGAGCATAGCTATCTGCCAGCGGCAGGAAACTAATGAAAGAGATGTGGACCCTAAGGGGGTCTATTGTAACTCTGGTTCAATAAATACTTCATGTACTTATCCTAAACAAGATCCGCCTCCTTACTAGTAATAATGTCTTACGCTGCCTAAATTCATCTGCTTTCATAGATTAGCTCTCGTAGTTGGAATTAAACTACATCAATTAATTTTCTACCCTAAATACCCCTAAGGGTATTAATTCATAATAATATGTTTTAATTCATAATGAAATCATAAAAAAATAATACAAAATCTTAGAAAAATTATAAAAAATTAATAAATAGTTATAAAATAAAATTTATTTTATTTTTATTCTAAAAAATTAAATTAAAAATTAATAAAAATGCGAGAGGCAAAAACAGTTGTTACTTCAGCAGATCCCACTTATTTTTATGAGGCTCATAAACATTTAAAATGGCGAGAGGCAATGGCTGATGAATTTAGTGCTCTTATCACTAATAACACTTGGGATTTGGTCCTGTTTGACAGCTTTAAAAACGTGGTTGCGTCTAAGTGGATTTATAAAACTAAATTTCACTCTGATGGTTCTATTGAGTGCCATAAAGCGCGTTTAGTTGCTCAAGGTTTTAATCAGCAGGATGATATAGATTTTTCTGAGACCTTTAGTCCAGTTGTCAAAAACACCACTATTCGTATTGTTCTTACACTTGTTGTTTCTTTTGGGTGGGTCATGTGTTAGTTAGATGTAAAAAATGCTTTTCTTCATGGTCACCTCACTTAGGAAGTCTATATGTGTCAACCGCAGGGATTTGTTCATCCTCAATTTCCTTCTCATATATGTCGTCTGCGAAAGGCTATTTATGGTCTTAAGCAGGCCCCGCGGGCATGGTTTCACAGGTTCAACAGTTTTCTCCTCTCTCATAATTTTTGTGTAGCAAGTCTTATAACTCCCTGTTCATTTATCGAAAAGGGTCATATGTTATTTATTTATTATTATATGTGGATGATATTATACTTACTGGTAATTCCTCCTCCCTTGTCAGTTTCTTCATCCGTGTCATTGTTTTCCACACTACAATGAAAGATTTGGGTGATCTTCATTATTTCTTGGGAGTGGAGGCTATTCGCACTACCACAGGTCTTTTCCTTTCACAACAAAAATATGAGTCTGATCTGCTTCACCGTTTTCACTTGCACACTCTAAAATCTGTGCACAC